TTTTTTTGAATGTCCAGAGGACCAGATTTAACTTTTTTAGATTTTTCTACCTGGATTATTGAGCATGCATCAGGATATTTTCAGAGCATGGTTAAAACGCAGTACAGCTGAACTGCCGTCAGCTTGAATTCTGAGACATGAGAAACCCAATGGGGGCTCCGACAGAAAAAAGGGCTGAATGTGTGCCTCTGTGCTGGGCCCAGGCTGCGGTCTCATAGAGCTGAGGTGAGCCAGCGCACACCAGGAGGAGGCATGAGCGCTTTCTGAGTGAGACACCGTTTCGGTGGAGGCTGTAGCTGTCGTGGAGAAAACACAATTACTCCCGCTGCGCTGAGTGGGCAGAAAACAGCAGAAATTAAAAACGGGCTCTGGCTTGTGATATTTACTGAACTGCGGTGTCATTTAAAACACTGTTTAGAGGTTACTGGCTCGTTCTGTATGGGGAATGTGTGAAGAGAGGCAGCTGAGAGATCAGCTGATCTGACAATCTCAAATGAAAAACTTTTCTTTCAGAGGTGTTTTTGTTTTATATCAAAAACATACATCATCAAAAAACACATACCTTCCCCTCAAGGATCTGTTACCTGGTGGAGGGGGCAGTCGGAGGAGCAGGGCTTGAAGTCACTGCCGCAGCTGTGGAGCACTTCTGGTTCTGTTGCTGGCCAAGGCGGTCCCTCCAGCGGCCGGAGGGGCAGATGGACTGTGATGTCACCAGATGGTGTACAGTCTCTGAGACCTCCTCGGACCTCTGCGATTTCTCAAGGATCGTCCTGAAGTTGGCTCCGAACAGTGCCTCTGGGGTGATGGGGCCCTCCATCAGGTCTTTCTGCAACCTCTCTGACAATGATGGTGAGAGGCGTAGCCAAGTGGTCCTCTGGATCATGGTCATCCAGGCGGTGATGCGGGACAGGCATATCGCAGAGGTGGCACATGTTTAAGATGACATCAGCAGCTTTACAGAGAGAGCTCTTGTCTCCTCCAGCAGGTCTGCTTCCTCCAGCCTCTTAGAGATGCTGTAGGCCAGTAGGGCGATGTTGTTGTTCGCTGCGGCCATCTGGAATGAGCACTGGTGAGCACAGTTGGAGACCATCTGGTCACCATCTGGTCAGGCTTCCCTGGAGGGACAGGTTGCTGGTCCATCCAGGAAGCTTTTGCCCCAAATGTCACCGCAAGGCTTGGCTCCCCCGGGAGGGGGGGGGGGGGGTGGTCCGAGGGAAAAAACACTGATCGGTAAAACCCTCCACTCTGGAGATGGAGGCGAAGGTGGAGACGGATGTCTTCAGCTTGCCGGCCCAGCTGCAGCCTCGTTCCAGTGTGACGTCACAGCTGGACAGCGAGGCCAGGTGGGGTCAGGACGATGAGTCGGGGCGGAGCCAACCTTGCCGCCAGATCATTCGATCAGGGTGGAGGGAGGCGAGATACAGAAAGTCCCTTGTGTTAACATCCTCCTGGATTATGCCGGGCAACTCCGAGAGGAGGGTGCTGACGGCTGGGTGTGGTCACTGACGTGGGAAAATCCGAGGTAGCTGAGCATCCGCTCGGCCACTTGTCTTCCGTCACTACGCTCTCCAGGAGGGAAGGGGCAGCTCCGCATTGCCTTTCTCGAAGGAGTCATTCGATTCACTGCATGACTCTGCGTCAAAGAAGGCGGTGGCGTCATCCCGCGCATAGTGTCCCGCCACAGAAAAAAAAACCACTCAGCGGAGCTGCTGCCAACAACGCCTTTTTTAGGGAATCATCCGATTTACCTGAAGAAAAAAACACATTAGAAAAGGCTGTGGCGTCATCTAGCGAGTAGCGGCCCTCCTCAGAAAACATCCAGCGGGGCTGTTGCTAACATGAGGTAATTCTTGAGGTAATCATTCGATTACCACGAGGACAAAACACGTTAAAAAAGGCTGTGGCATCGTCCAGCAGGTAGCGGCCCCCCACGGAAAAAACATTCAGCGGGGCTGCTACTAACATCACCTTTTTCAAGGAAATCATTTGATTACCACGAGAAAAAAACACATTAGAAAAGGCGATGGCGTCGTCCATTGGGTAGCGGCCCACTACGGAAAAGCACTCCTTGGCGCTTACCTTGAACAAGGCTGTTCGTCTACTTCTCCTCGGGGAGGAAGAGCTCATCGGGACGGCAGGAGGTTGGCGTGGCAGAGACCCAGGCATCCTTAGTAATGGTTGTGCCGGTCAAAGCTGGACAACTTTTCCTTCTTCGTTCTTCTGACAGTGCTAGCTAGCTGGTTGAAGAAACAATGGGAGCCGATTACCCGGTCTCACCGTAATTTATACGGACCTTGGGTGAGGCCCACACACAGCAGGTGGGTGTGGACTAAAGTTTTTTCAGTGCAGCGCAGAGCGCATAGGGATGAACCCACTAGCGAAAGTCTTAAAGGGCGAAGCCTATACGAAATAGAACATATATCATTATCTAAAATTCTATTCTTGGATTATTTTGAAACATTTCTAAAATATTCCTGTAAATTTCACCACATTGTGCTTTTCTGTTTCTATTACAGGATTTAATTGAAGGAGCAAGCAATATGGTGAACTCAAACTGGAGTGGAGTAACTGATACCATACGTCACCAAATGTCAGAACTATATCTTAATTCTGTGGAGTCTTTGGTGAAGCACATTGAGGTGAACACGAGTGAGGGCTTCAACAGCACAAACCTGGAACTAAAATTCTGCTCAAGTGATGACTGTAACATGACTGTGTTTGGCGTTGAAGTGTCTATGAACAGGACCACTGGGATGATGAAAACTATGGGGATGAAAAATTTAATGGAAAAATTAGATAACAAAAATTTCCCTGGCAGAAATCGCACCAGCATCTTGATGTCAGCCACATTGACAAATTACAGTGATTCAAATATTACAATTCAAATGCTTTTTCCTGATGAGCAACCAGATGCTACAGAACATGTATGTGTCTACTGGGACACCAGTGCAGGAGACTGGTCAAGTGAGGGATGCATTGCCAACACCACTGAAGATAACCAAACACTTTGCGAGTGCAACCACCTGACTTCATTCTCTGTTCTCATGTCTAAAACTGCCAATGTGTCTTCTCATTCCCTCGACCTTATCACATATATTGGCCTTGGTGTGTCTATTTTCTCTCTGCTAGTTTTCCTCTTCATTGAGTATCTTGTGTGGTCTGCTGTGACAAAAACGAACCTGTCACATTTCCGTCACACATCTATAGTCAACATCGCCGTGTTTCGCTTGCTCGCTGATTGCAGTTTCCTGGCTTCAGCCTTTCCTAACAATATCAGTGACACCTGGTGTTTTACATTTACTGTGTGCAAACACCTGTTTTACTTGGCTATGTTCACCTGGATGTTGTGCTTGAGTTCGATGCTCGTCCACCAGCTCATCTTTGTTTTCAGCCCTGTGAGGAAGAGAGTGTTCATGTTCCTCTCCAGCATTGTAGGCTATGTTGTCCCAATTGTATTGGTGGGAGCTAGCTATGTGTATTACAAATACACCAACAAGGACTACTATAGCAGGGAAACCTGCTGGTTGATATATGTAAGACTATTGGAAGGCTCTATTCATGCTTTTCTTCTTCCAGTGCTCACCATTGTTTTGGCAAATCTCTTTTCTATGGTGGTTGTCATTGTAACATTGGTGAAGACCTCCATACCCGACAGCAGCAAGGCAGATGACAAGGAGACGGCCAAAAGCATTCTTAAAGTGGTAGTTTTTCTAACGCCTGTCTTTGGAGTGACATGGATTGTCGGCTTCTTACTTTATACCATGGATGAGGGTACAACCTTGTTTGAAATTGTTAACTACACTTTCACCATCCTCAATTCTTTTCAGGTAACTAGAGCAATTTTCACAACAAACTTAAAGTTGGTACTATATATCCTGATGCATGCTCAATATTCCACGTAGAAAAATCCCAAAAAGTTCAATCTGGTCCTCTGGACATTCAAAAAAACAAAAGCAAAACAAAGCAAAAAAATGTAGAAACGTTTCGTCTCTCATCCAAGAGACTTCCTCAGTCTGAGGTGCTGTTTTCAGTTCAGTCTCTTAAATAGCACCTTCTTAGAGTGGATCAACCAGTTTGCTGCTGACAACCAAAACTAGCTGATCACATGCTCAAGAAGGACCATCAGCCTAACAATGGGTCATTAGCACACTGATGGCTGTTTACTGCTCACAGAGGGCTGAGTGATACTAGCAATCACAGCATTGTAAGAGGGGGACAGTTGAACCCGGAGGCCTCCACCCCTGTTTAATGATGGACGATTTCTTTTCACAAAGATGGCCTCCTTTACTCCTCTCTCAAACCATCGTTCCTCTCTGTCCAGGATGTGAACATCTTCATCCCTGATAGAGTGACCGCTGGCCTGGAGATGAGTGTAGACCGCAGAGTCCTGGCCTGATGATGTTGATCTTCTGTGCTGGGCCATCCTTTTGGCCAGTGGCTGTTTAGTTTCCCCGATGTAAGACTGATCACAGCCCTCCTGACACTGAACAGCATACACAACATTACTCTGTTTGTGCCGGGGGACTGGATCTTTGGGATGAACCAGTCTTTGCCATAATGTATTTTGGGGTTTAAAAGCCTCTGGGACGTTATGTTTAGAAAATAAACGTCTCCGTTTCTCTGATACCCCATCAACATACGGAATGACCACTGGTCTGGGTCTGGGTTCCTCCTTTTCACCTGAAGGCTGACTGGAGTCCTGTTTGGGTTTCTTCTCTGCTTTCAGGAAGGCCCAGTTAGGATATCCACATTGCTCTAGAGCCTGTTTTGTGTAGGATTTCTCCTTCTGCCTGGCTCCCGAGCTAGTGGGGATGCTGTCTGCTCTGTGATACAGAGTCCTGATGACTACTAACTTGTGCTCCAAAGGGTGATGGGAGTCAAACTGCAAATACTGGTCTGTGTGGGTGGGTTTGCGGTACACCTCGGTTTGCAAATGTCCTCTATCCGAGACTGAGACCTCACAGTCCAAGAAAGCCAACTTGCCATTTTTTACATCTTCTCGTGTGAACTTGATGTATTTATCCACAGAGTTGATGTGGTCAGTAAAATGTTGGACTTCCTGAGATTTAATTTTAACCCAGGTGTCGTCAACATACCTGAACCACAGGTTCAGGTATGTTGTTCCACAGAACAACTGTGTCAACTCTTGAAACTGTGCCTGCAGTCAACCTACTTCACATATGGGGAGCAATATTATAGGCAGAAACATGGGTGTGCTATGGGGTCTCCAGTTTCTCCTATTGTTGCCAACCTGTACATGGAGGAGGTAGAAAAGAGAGCCTTGACTTTTGTTGTGGATAGAATACCACGTCGTGTTCAAAACGGCGGAGGCGTCGCCCTTCGTATAAAAGATTTATTTGACACAACATGGGTTACAGATATTCAGAGACAAACAATTACATTAATAAGATATATGCATATAAATGGAGCATTAAGAACAAACCGCCTCGTGCCTCCCTGAAAATGCTCAGTGCGCGTGCGTCATTCCCGGCCTTTTATCCCCGTTTGAGAAGGCTAGCTTCCTGATTGGTTCAGCTTCTGTCGCTATGGTTACGACTTAGCCCGCCCCCTCAAGGACGTTACGTCTATATTTCAGATAAGTTTTGGTTCACTGAAATCGGCTTTTGTTTAAAGTTTAACTTGCTATTATACTTTAGGGATATAAAATGATTCGTGTCTAAATTGTTTATGCGTAATAATTAATAACTATTAATTATTACCTACCTCCTGGGTGTTAATTCAATATCTGTTGGAGGTCTGGTGATTCTGTTTTTAAGGCAGATTCATCTTAGTTTCTGTGTCTGCGTTTAAAACTGTTAACACTGTTTGTTTAACGTGATTATACCTTAGTGATAACACTGATTTGAAATAGTTGTTTATTTCTAGGAATAATTATATTATCTAACTTATGTTCGTGTTTTTATTTGGATCATGGTTATACTCTTAATTTGATTTTACTTAGTCAACCTATAGTCTAAATTAAAGAGCTGTTCTAGCTTTATTTATGTTAATCAGTCTGCTCTCTGGCCTGATTTGATTGCTTGTAATTTATCAAATGTGAACTTGTAAAATTATCTTTAGCTACTATGAGATTATATTTAAAGGTCAACTAGTTAGAATTAGCAAACATTTTCTATAAACATAGTTCAACCTTGGAAGAAAGACACACACACACTTTATATGACCTGACATTTGAGTGCTTGATAGGAATTATAAAAAGGTATAAAATATTAAATCCAACACGTCCTTTTCAGGGACACCACCAAGTCATTGGTTCAGGTATGTTGACGACACCTGGGTTAAAATTAAATCTCAGGAAGTCCAACATTTTACTGACCACATCAACTCTGTGGATAAATACATCAAGTTCACACGAGAAGATGTAAAAAATGGCAAGTTGGCTTTCTTGGACTGTGAGGTCTCAGTCTCGGATAAAGGACATTTGCAAACCGAGGTGTACCGCAAACCCACCCACACAGACCAGTATTTGCAGTTTGACTCCCATCACCCTTTGGAGCACAAGTTAGGAGTCATCAGGACTCTGTATCACAGAGCAGACAGCATCCCCACTAGCTCGGGAGCCAGGCAGAAGGAGAAATCCTACACAAAACAGGCTCTAGAGCAATGTGCATATCCTAACTGGGCCTTCCTGAAAGCAGAGAAGAAACCCAAACAGGACTCCAGTCAGCCTTCAGGTGAAAAGGAGGAACCCAGACCCAGACCAGTGGTCATTCCGTATGTTGAGGGGGTATCAGAGAAACTGAGACGTTTATTTTCTAAACATAACGTCCCAGTGGCTTTTAAACCCCAAAATACATTACGGCAAAGACTGGTT